TCTATGATGAAAATGACAGACCTCTCTCAATTATCCAAGTAGGAGAACTTGCACAATCAGTGAATGACTAAATACTTTTTGGCCACACTGTATATGAGCAGGTTAAGCAAATGATCTGCCAACAGATTGATTGTTTTGCCAATAAAATTGGATTATTAGATATTATGCACTAGTAGTTACTCAGGTACCCAGAGTGGTAGTCTGAGTTTTGAACCAGCAACCTCTCAATGGTGCCAACATCCATCTATCCTAAAGTTTGGCCATAAGAGCTCCTGTATGCTGCATAAAGATGCTCTGGTCAGTTAGTCTTTTTTGTCCTGCATGAAAATAAGTTAGGTGGAAATAATCTAATTGGTGGACATCCCAGATGTTAGAGTCTGGCAGATTATTTGGGAAGCTTCTGTTCAGCAGAGACAGGGAGGCCAGGTAAGAGCTGAAGCAAATATCAAAGACATTACTGAGAGGCTAGAGACTGAGATGAAGCTTCACTTTCAGCAGGAAATACAACCAGAGATATAATGGAGTGTTTAGACAAAGGTAGATTCATGGGTTAGAATGGTCTAGTTAAAGTCTCGACTTATATATTCATGTCCTGGTTGATACTAATTTAAAATATCTTAGAAAGGGGGCAATGATTATCATTATCTCTTCTGCAGTTCAGAGATTCAGCTTCTGCATTTCCCTAGTGTCTCTAAAAGCGTACTCTCTCAACACTGAGCGTCTCTCTCTGCAGACCCATAACAGCGTGTAAACAATCTGCTGAAATGGCAGTTACTATAGCAACGGTGCAGCATTGTAGAAGTTGTGGCTTCAGGGACGAGTTTGAATCCCTCCAGGGGGAGATAAAGATGCAGAGAGTTTTTATCGGCGATGCTGGAGCAGTTCAGGTTTTATTTGATCCTATTCTCTGCTGAACAGCGGCTTTAAATAAATACGCAGAAATGAGGGGCAGCAGCACATTTGGTCATGTGGTGATCAGATTCCTGAAAACCTAGTTTGTGCTGTGGTGTGACGGAGAGAGGGAGAGCAGGTGGATGTGGCCGGCTCAGCACTCTGTGGTATTTACTAATTACAGGAGAAGCTGAGGTCATGGCCCCTGTAATTACAGCTTCTAATTGGCCAGCCTGCATGCCAGTAACCAATCAGCTGCCATCAAGAAATTACAAGCCTAGATAACAGAGTTTGTGTTTCTATCGTAACGGCTGGATGGTTTCTTTTAGCTGTTGGTTAGAGGCGACTCCTCTGACTCTGGACTGAATCCACGTCCCCTCAGAAATAAAATCGCTGACATTCTGAGCATGGGCGTAGGTTTGCATAGGGACCATAGGGCCATGTCCCTACCAAGATTTTAGACCGACCTTCTTGTCCCTACCAATAATTACATGTGAATAACATGTTTGTAATTTACAATACAGTGTTGTTGCAGCAATAGAGGACTTCTGGATGGAAAATATTGACAGACAAAAACAATATTTATCTTAAATACAAAATTTTTATATATTTCTTTTACAATTTTGGTATAATTCCTGCTGTAAGTGGGTCGCACTTTGAGCTAAAGACATGTTTTAGAGTCTCTATACTCCAGTTTACGATAAATCGATTACTAAATTTGTCAATAATTGCTTAATCCAATGAATCGTTTCAGCCCTAGATAAAATAGATGAAATGGGTTAAACAGAGTAACTACAGCTTAGATATATAACTTTTATATTGAAGTTAATATATTAAATGCTCAGTGTCAGTTCCTCTTCAAGTTCCAGTGCTCATGTAAATACAACACATTTATTTTGCATCCGTAAATCTATTATTTCGCTTTGTTTAATGATACAAAGATAACATTTAAAAGATAAGAGTGGGGTTTACCTTTGTTTGCCTCTGCACAATTCTACATCTTTAAAAGAAACAAGAGGATAAATCCACCTATAGCGGACAGATTTAGACTATATTATGTTAAATAGGCACAGATTCACCTACTGTCTTATTTAATACAAATCTTTTCAAAGTGAAAAAAAATCCTAATTCCTCATTTATCAGAGCCAGTTATGCTTTTATCATTAACAAACAGCATCTAGTGTGTGTAGTGCTTATAAAATTTGTATAAATGTAGCAAAAAAAGCTGCTTTTCTCTTTAAATGAAATACTCCCTGATTTTCACATCAAGCATAAAAAATGAGCATGCATGTTTTTGCATAGGACCGATGACATCAGACCAATAGTGTCTCTAACAAAGTTGTAATCAGACTTACCGGTACTCCCTTGATTCTCAGGGAAATGGAGCAACCTTAAAAATTGAAGGAACTAATTTATTCTACATTTACTCTGTTATTTTCATATAGACTCTTAAAATTTCCAAATCTGTCTTCAAAGTTCCATTTCTTTTCATTTTAGTTTTTTTTTTTTTCCAGTTTTGCCTGATTTCTAATTTATTTAAAAAGTAGAGAAAGTGTTCTGCAGCGTTCATCATTAAAAGTTTAAACCCATTTGTTGCTCAAAGCTGATGTTCCTAACTAGGGATAAAACAATTAATTGGATTGATTCTAGATTAATAGATCATTTAAATAATCATCAACCAATTTAGTAATCAATTAATTGTTAACTAGTGTATAGAAACTGTCTATGCCTTTAGCTGACAGAGCAACCAACCTTGAGCAGCAATTATACCAAAATACTAAAATTAACAAATGTAAATATTCTTCTATTAAGATAAAAATCTTTTCCTCAAGTGGAAAAGTTTAGTTTCACCTGGTTTAATTTCGGAAAAAATTCTCTTTTAAGGAATCTTTGGGTATTTGATTATTAATCTAAAAAATTATGGGAAGATAAATCGATTTGCAACATAATCATGAGCTGCAGCCCTATTCCTAAAGTTTATCTGCTTTTCACTCAACATTGTGCGAAGGGATGTGTTATTCATTCATTTATTAATACAAACGACCGAGGAAAATGAAGCTTAATTGTCTGATTCTCATCTGTGAGCAACTAATTGGTGCATCTCTGCCATAAAAACATCTAATTATTTGATAAATCCTGCTAACATGGAAGAAAATGTATGAACTGAAGAATTCAGAGAGAAAACAAGATGAGCTGGTAATAAAAAATAGAAAAACAAAAGGGGACACAATTTAAAAAAAAAAAAAAAGAAAAGAGGCAAGATTTATTTTTGAATATTGTCTCTAATAATTCACCTTTCACTTGTTTACCTGATTGGCTAATTGGTAGAGCACATGACCCATATACTGTTGCAGGTTAGATTTCCCGCACTTCTGACCTTTTCTAAAGGTCTCTCCCCTGTACTCTGACCTAATTTCCTGTCTTCATACTTTTGAAAATTAAAATAAATGCCATTAGAGTCTAAAAACAAAATACATATTTTATTTAGTTTTTTTTGCATCATTTGTGAGACATTAGGCTTTTCTGTGTAATCTTTCCTGGATGTATAAGTCAGATGATGATGATGTCATTGAGTTCTCACTAACCCATGTATTGAATACGATACACCTGGTTTCGAAGTGTTAGGAGTAGGGCTGAAACAATTAATTGGATTATTGTAGATTAATCGATTATTGAAATAATAACACATTCAGTAATGGATTAATCATTAACTGTAATATAGAGACTCTAAAACATGCCTTTAGCTGACAGTGACCCACTTAGAGCAGCAATTTTACCAAGATTGTAAAAAAATATATACAAATTTTGCATATAAGATAAAAAAAACAACTTTTTTTGTCTGTCATTATCTTCTATCCAGAACTCCTCAAGTGGAAAAAAAATGTTTCAACTGGTTTAATTTTGTAAAAAGTCTTCTTTAATGAACCTTTGATTATCTGATTATTATCATTAGTTGCAGTCATAGTTAGGAGTAGAGGTGGGTACGTATCTCTTTAGAGGGAGTCACATCTAAAGGAGCCGTTCTTCCAAAGAGTCATACCATCATTCATTTCAGGTCAACCAGAGGTAAAGGAAAGAAATCCCTGGTAGGAGTCATAACACACAGTATGGCTAAAATGACTCAGATTTACACAATCCAACAAAATCCTGCTGGTGGGACTTGATCTGAAGCCTATTAATTGTAATTCAATTTGTTTTCAAAGCAAATATTCTACTTGAGCCCCGACAGGTTTTGATTTACTCCTCACCTAAAAACATTACTAGGTAAAAGGGTCGTTCAAAATTAATAGTAAGGAAAAAATATAAAAAGAACATTAAAATCTTTCTTCAAGCAGAGGAGCTCTGAGGCAGGTTCCCTAAAAAGAGCTTCATCATTGTGAATCTAATCAATCTAGTCAATAGAGACAATCTAATCAAAATTAGTTGAGTTATTAGAACTTAATGTTCAACTGGCACGCATCGCAATAGATGAATTACAGATCCATAGGTTTTCAAAGTAAAGCTGCTGTCTGGATGTGTTCAGATGCCAGGGTTGCCAGCTGTGCCTTAAAGAGGGAGCTGTCCCCTATGCAGAAACATTAGGTGTCTAATTTAATTTAGATTTCATTTAAATCCTAACACACTGGAAAAAAATCAAAATCTAAATGAGTCATTTTATCTTAAAATAAGTGCATTTTTTCTTGAATTGAGGAGGTAAGTGAGACACTTTGCCAATGAAACAAGACAATTTACATTTACATTAAAAAAAAAAATAAAAAAATTTCATTGTCTTATTTCAAGTGTATATTATCTAATTACCTCATTTTAAGAGTATAATCATCTTATTTATCTACTCAAATTAAGGATAAATATACTTAATTTAAGACATTTTGACTTATTTCTAGATTATTTTTGGAGTGCAAAATTAATTCACACACAAAACAAGTGGATACTGTTGGTAAGAACTTCTTTGTAGTTGGCAGCCCTATCAGTTACCTGATCAATAATCTGATGGTGGAAATGGACCGAACCACTCTGACTCCTCAGACCCAGAGACCAGCTGTCACGTTTTTATGATTTAAAGTCCTGATCCTCACTATGACCTGCATTTTTTTTTTCTTTTCATTTAGATTTTTCAGACAAGAAGAGTGACCTGCGTGTCTGCGATGCCGGAACGTGTCGTTTCGGAGGGACGTGCCGCGAGAACGGAGCCGACATCAAGTGCGTCTGTCAGTTCCATGTGAGTCTCCCATACCCAAACAGAATGTTCCCTGCAGGCCACAGATAACAGCACTGCTTCAAACAACCATCCAGATCAGTTTTCCTTCATTTCAGACAATGAACAACAATAGTAGATCTATAGATCTACCAGAGTTAAAGAGCTTATCAAAATGTTCTTCTCATATTTCCTTTATGTTGTTGTTTGCTGTTTCAGTGCAGTAAGAAGTACGTCCCTGTGTGTGGCTCCAATGGAGACACGTACCAGAATGAGTGCTTCCTCAGGAGAGCCGCCTGCAAAAAGCAAAGAGCCATTAGCATCGTGTCAGACGGAGCCTGTTACCACGGTAACACTCTCATCCACTCATACTCAGTACTTTAACTAGAAGGTAACTGTAATTATACTCGTCCTAAATAATGCATAAGTCGGGATCATCAGCTCTGCTGCTAAATTGATCATCTGCTCCCACAGAACATCCATGTAGTTAAATGGGCTGCGTTTCATTGTTTCCCCACAGAAACAGCTGCAGTAGAGATAAACCAACAGGTTCAGCAGAAAGACTCATTTACTGAAATACCGCTACTGTTTTCATAATGTTCTCTATTTGGTCCTTTCCACACAGTTTAAATATCTAAAACATTAAAATTAGGAAGCAGGTAGAGTTTTTAGATACTCAACATAGAAAATATAAACGTATTGTCCTTAAAGTCTTTTAAAATCAGAGTGAAACACCAGAGACACAATGGCCCAGTTTGGGTTCTTTAACTGTTGGAGAAGCAGAGAAATGAGAGAAAGGGAAGAAGATGAATCCTTCAGGGAAGGGTTTGGTTTTATAGCCATTTTTCTCCAACTCCAAACATTCTGGTTTGGTTAAGAGTCATCTTAAAATTTTTAGCGGCTCCAACTGACCTCAGTAACACAGAGGTTGTCTTAAGGGAGCAGGACCCTCATGACGGAAAAAGAGCTTAAGCAGAAGTTCAGCTGCATGGAACTCATCAAACTGTAACGTCTAGCTCTAGCAGTAAGAATTCTGCTTTGCTGATTCCTGATAGTTTTGAAGTGACTGAAACACATGGCTGATGGTAGGCAGATTGGGACCCAGACAGAAAGCTGCGCTCTGGGTCACATGACTGAGGCTCATTTAGTCAGATTGTAGCTCCGCCTCCTGTTCCTAGATTCTAACCTTTCTGTTTTTATTGGATCGACAGTAGGAGCCTGGATGATGTGATAAAACTAGGACTACAGCTTTCTGGAAAAGAACTACAAAAAATAAAGTTAGTTAAATAAATGTAGTGCTGCATTATAAAACCTAAAACACATGAAGATGTTTAAATAAGCATGTTTCACACAGAGTAGAGTGAAGAAATAGTGGATGTTTGTGAAACTAAATGATAATAATCTGTTCCAGTATGTCATAATCAGTAGTCTAGTTGTAAAAAAAAGCGTAATTAATTAATTAATTAATTAAGTCTATTAACCTAAAGCAACATGCATGGTATGGTTGTTACATGTCAGGTACGCTGGTCATTGACCTTGAACAACCTTTCAGTAGAACTGCAGTCAGTCCCTGGACTGACATGGCTATTACTGCCCCTACAGAGTTAGGGACTAAGATCAGCTTCATGGTCATGGTAGGACACTTCTTTGGTTTTATTTAATTTGCTCAGGCAACTCATAAGCCCACAGCCCATTGAATGTTGAATTTGCAATATTATTGCCATTACTGTTAATATATAGTAGAAATTTTACACATTCAGCAAATGAATGTCACAGAGGATGGTATGAGGGATGCTCATTTAAGAAGGGGGATGCCATCCCCCCTCACCCCCCTCAACTTGAGTACTTGTCATAATACAAAAAGGATTGTGGGATTCCAGTTAGCTTCCAGTTAGGAATGTTGGTAGGTCCCTATGTTGAATGTACTATTAATAGGAAGCCTACAGGTACCTTTTCCTACCTCCTTCTTTACGCCTGGGACCTCAACCAAAGGCCCTACAGGATCTGGAAGGGGTGTGTTCCTACCACGTACCTATTTACACCAAGATTTTCTGTCGGTTTTAGAAGCATCACACTAAAGTCGTGCACCTTAAGGCCTGAAATAGAACAATAAACCTGTAAACTGTAATCTGTAATCTGGCAGTATTAACCATGTCTTACATGCCTGCTCTTTATCTTAAAGTTATCTTAAAGTTATCTTCTTTTCTTTGTATCTATCCTAGTTCAAATTTATTTTCAGGGGTCATATTTAGTATAGCTAAATATATATATATATATATATATATATATATATATATATATAATATTGCTATATAGTATATTATATAGTATTTCTAAGCCGAAAATAGGCTTTGTTTTTTATCCACTTTATAAACCCAGGAACTCAATGCTATTTTTGACATTTTCAAATTAAAAAGCTTCCTGGATGGGAAGCGAAACATCTTCAAACTTGGAAACAAAGTCTAGTGGATTGTTTTAAAATTTTTTGACATGACTATGACCTGAATGACTGAGAACCTTCACCATCACGCTGTTCCCACATGTTTCCATCTGCTTCTCCAAGGTCGCAGAAAACCGTGTGTCCCTGGCACTAGTGTTTTCTCAGAGAGAGTATTCTTCACTGCCGGAGATATCTTCATTGCTCAGAGAAGTGCAGTTCTCCACAAGCATGTCAATTAGATTGTATTCCTGAGCAAAAATCTGAAGTGAATGTAGAGAACTTGGTGTGCAGTTTTGTGAAGAGGAGAGTTTCTGTTTAGTGTTCATTAAAGGTCTTGAGCTGCTCTGCTGTAGTGGGTACCATTTAAAGTATGCTTTAATGTTGCTCCTGTGGACTTGAATTACTGGCTGCCATGGTTTATTTTTCTTTTCTGATGGCTGGACTAGCGTCCCCACATACTAATAGGCCTACAGGCCCTAAACTACTCAGCTAAGACGGGTACATTTTAAGTTCAATGTTTAAATGTTCTTCTTAGCGACTTTAATGATTGGATGTTTTGGAGAAGCCATGTTACTGTTTACTTAACTGGTAGCTAAACTTGCTTCCTCACATGTTCAGTGTTGTCAAGATAAAAGAAAAGCTGTTTTTGTTGCTGTACTTTTTAACTTTCTTGTTACAATAACTGTAATACTGCACTTTATTGACTTCAAAGGCTTGTAAGCTACAGTTTGAACTGATCTGTGATTCATTTTATCCAGTATTTGCAAGCTTTATGCTCTCTGTCCGTTTAGACATATACTATGCAATTTATGTTTTTAGTTTTTGGTTCATTTAATTAAAACCAAGTAAATACAACACTCACAAGATCTCACCTAAACCCCTCTGTCCCTTTTACCCTCCCAAAACGTTTTAAACCGTTTACAACTGATAAATGAGAATGCATGAAAATTACACCAGTAAGATTTTTACCAGTATAGAGATGTTAGACGTCGTTGAAAAGCTTAGATTCTCCACAATTCAACCACCAAGTTCATTAGTTATAGACAAAGCAAGCACCAAAGCACAATTAACACAGATATAGCAACATGTCAAAATGTAAACACGACAAAGCAGCCATAAAAAGAAAGCATGTCTTAATTACTGCTGTTCAAAAAAGAGCTATTACTTTCAAGAATAAAAAAAAACATTGAGTCATGTTTTATGTTATGCAGCTGGGGTATTTTACTCACCCAATGTATAGATTCAGAAACTAGAAGGTGTTAGCTTTCAAGTAATGTATCACACATGTAATTTGGGTTTACAGTTCCTAAGTTATTTGCTTTTCCATTTGGGAACGCAAAACAGGCGAGAATAACTGTCAGAAATTATGGAAGTGTATCGAATTATATCGAATCAAATCATATTGTTGACTGAATATAACAAGATATGTAATATATCATATCATGACATGAATATCTATAATATATTAGTATATCACTACAGCCCTACTGTATATGTTGATTTTAACTGACACAATCGAGTGGATCCACCATGTTCTTCATCAGCTGACTTCCTCCTTGAATGAGCCCCTCTGCTCTAGATTACAGTGGAGTTGGTGCATCGAGCGGAAATAATAGCCACATATTTAAGAGAAGCAGACGGAACTGCAGACACTATTTAAACAGAGACTTGATGTGTAACAGCTGCAGCCTTCGTCTGCCGAACAAAATTGCTGCTTTCAAAGCGCTGGATGGTTCAAAATAACTTTTGCTTCCAGAGACGACTTTATCCAACTGGAAAATCCAGCTGCTGAAACATTTCCATCCGCCATCACTTGCTGTTTCACATTATTTATCTCTCCACAGAAAAGATAGATTAAATCATCTGTAAATAAGAATAAACAGATGAATAAAATAATAAACATCAGCATTAGGTCTAAATCTAGCTGCTAACTTCAGATCTGCTCTCTTTGTTTATCAGATGGAGCTTCTGGGTCTGGAGATGGAGGTAAACAGTCATTTCCTGGTTGATTTTCTTTAATAATAAAAATCAAATACAGAACAAACTGTGTTGCTGCAGAGGAGCTCATGAAGTCTCGTTTCCTGTGTCTGCAGACGATGAAGGCTCTGGTCGGGGGAAGAAGGCCTCCAAATGTGGAAACTGCAAGTTTGGAGCTGAATGCGACGAGGACTCCGAGGACTTACTGTAAGCGCTCACCAGTCCAGCCACTGGTGCATAAGTTAGCACACAGGCCTTACGTGTTGATTTTGGTGTCTGCAGCTGCATGTGCAACATAGTGTGCAACGGACACAACGACAACCCGGTGTGCGGCAGCGACGGCCTCACCTACGACACGCCGTGCCACGTCCGCGAGGCGTCCTGCCTCAAACAGCTCAAGATCGACATCAAACATGTCGGACGGTGCCAAGGTAAACCGCCTCAAACACACAGGGAGGGGGGGTCAGCGGGAGAGAGGTGGGTGGGAGGCGGGATCAGGCTGCGGGGGTGAGGAAGAACAGAAGAACAGAAACGTTTCAGTTTATTTATATTTCATGATGACCTGACCTCAATCTACTAACACACTTATCGTCCTGTGAGGACCCACCATGATTAATTCATTACTGGGAATTCAGGTCTAAAAACCCTAAAGTTGGCCTCAGAGGGTCAGAGTCGCCATCATTTAGTCTCGCCCCTCTTTAATGGCGTCCCTGTATGTCAGACTAACCCGACCCTCTGAACAACCAGCTGGCGTCATTTAAAACCAACCTCTTCATTATCTGCTGAGTTTATAAACTGGGAACAATGAGGCTGAAAACGCCTTTTTTACGCCTCTAAATATTTTAACATAAATTAAGCACAACTTTGAAGCCGTTCTCCCATTAGAGCAGAAACCTGCCATCAGCACCTGAAGGGGTTTTAATCAAAGAAAATCAGATTTTACATTGTTTGAAATTAAGGGCAGTGGTTTAATAATGAATTTTATAACACATAAACTGAATTTAATGGTTTTAAATGGAATTCATTTAAATGCAGTTCAGTTTATTTCTATAGCTCCAATTAAACACATTTCATCTCAAGGCACTTTACAGTTCTCCAAATCATACAGTCTGATCGGTTCAAAGATTTTATCTAAGGAATCCCCCAAACCAAGCATGCTTGTAGCGACAGTGGAGAGTAAAACTTTCCTTTGAACAGGAAGAATCCTCCAGCAGAACCAGGCTCAGTGTGAGCGGCCATCTGCTGAGGCCGCCTGGGGTTCAAGGAGACAGAAGCAGAGATACAAAATACAAAATTAGCTTTGTCAACATATTTAGTTGTAAGTAAAAGTAAAAGTTTTTCCCCTTTCAGGTCTTCAATTTTTCTTAAAAATCTCTACTTTTGTGTCAGACATCAGTAGGTCTTTTAGACAGAATAATTAAACACAGATTCAGCAATTTAACTTTCACATTGGGTAAACGTATTTTACAACTTGATTTGAAGGAGTGAGGATCTGTTTGGTTCATTGGTGGTAAATCAACAATGTCTTTCTTATTATTTTCATTTTTTCCATTGACATCCAGAATCAGGCTTAACATCCAAAACATCAAATACTTGATGCATCTTGCTTCTGTTGGCTGTCCTAAATCCTAAAGTATTACATCAGAACAACGAAAACTACAATATAAGAATCAGAATAAAAGCTATGTACAAATATGGATTCATGCTTTTTATATAAAACAGTCAATGGTTTGTGAAAATAAATGCAGGTCTATGGGGTGTGACATGTTTGACCCAGTTTTCCCATTGCGAAGCAAATACTTCCCCTTTGTAACAAATACTGTAATCTTCTCCATTTTATATATTTTCACAGTAATGCTTTGTGTTTGTTCTTCATGTTGGTAAGAAATCAGGATCTAATGAAAGTAGCAAGAAAATTAAAATGTAAAAAAAGGCAGCCAGAAGCAGAGACGCTGAACGTCTCCATGTTGCATCCAGGCTGCTCTGGTTCCTGATAGAAAACAGAGAACCTCTTTTTAAAGCTGCAGTCGGTATCCATAGTTACACCTGATGAAGACCAGCTCTGATTAATTTGTGTTGCATAATTGCTGCTTATACAGGCACCAAATCATTAGAGTGCTGCTTCCGTTGTAGCGTTATTTAAGCAGGAATGAAGTTGTTTCTGCTCTGGGCTCTGAGTGACGCGCAGCTCTTCCTTAGTATGCAGCTCTGTCAGCTCCTTTAAGCACCAATCAGAGGAAATCTTTTATCAGAGCTGAAGGATTTCTGGTATAATTAGTTAGAATAGAGCTGCTATAGTAGTGGCTGTGTGTGAGGTCTATGCAATGTTTTTAGTTTAATCTCCATCCACTGGAATATTTTTATTATGCAGTGAATCCGCTGTCTGATGAGGAAGGAAGGTTAAAAGTTGTTTTTTTTTTCTTTATATGTGTGAAAATGAACAAAATGTTCAATGAGGTTTAATAAAATCTGAACATTTTCTGAATCTCTTCAACTTTGCAGCAGCTCACTGATTTATTCAAGCTCATTGTTTGTTTACATTAAGATATTTCTGATGTTTAAATTGAACTTTATTGATCTCACACTGGAGAAATTTACCTCTGCATTTAACCCATCCTCTAGGGGAGCAGTGGGCTGCCCTTGTGTGGTGCCCTGGGGGCAGTGTGAGGTTAAGGGGAGTGCTCCAATGCCATTTTTTGGCCCCAATACCTGGTTGTGCAGTATTGGCCGATACCGATACCATCTGTTTAAAAGTGATGTATGTGTGTGTATATATGAGGAACTGCATACTACTTGGATGTAAAATAATTACCATCATGGCTTTGTCAAGCTGCTGCCTACCTTTGCGATTTAGGAAAAAAACTAATACAAAGTGAATCCAGTAGAACTTTTTATTGCCTTCCTGGAATGGGTGACAATAGTTAAATAAACTTTTGGCTCTCAAAATGGTATAAGTGCTCTATTTGTTGGTACTCGCCGATACCGATACCACCATTTTATTGCTGGATCGGGACCCGGCCCGATACTGGTATTGGTGCATCACTAGTTAAGGGTTTTGCTCAGGAACAGGGAGTGCAGGCTGTGAGGATCGAACCGGGTACTTGCAACCTTTTCAGAGCACAATCACACTGCTCTAATCACTAGGCCCACATGTGAATATAATATAAATCAGCTTTTAAATACATTAAATCACTTCCATGTTTTATCTGGACTCATCTGAAGGAAAAGTTAACTGTATACAAACATCTCATGGACTTTTTGTTTCCCCCTCTTTGTAGATAGTTTAGAGATCTAACATCAGAATCAACGCAGCTCGTTCCTGCAGACATGTCCTGGCCCTGAGGCAGCTCTGATGTGTTTGTCAGCTCCTCTGTAAACGTCTCCATCACATCACATTAAGCTGCACTCAGGCCTACATGTCTGTGCTGAGGGAGGGGAGGCTCTGTGCGTTTAATAAAGTCAGAGGAGTTCATCCTCTTGAGGAACAGATCTGAGATCAGTCAGGCAGCAGATAATGTGACCCAATTCACCTGTAATGTGTTCCAACAACCAACAAAATCAGAAAAGCCAGTGAAACAGCCGAGAATCTCCACTTCAGATCAAACAAACATCATAAACATGATCATTTAATGAAATACTGGAAAATACGCAGCAGGCTTCAGAATCAAACTTCATAAAGCAACACTGTATGTTTTAGCCACCAGGGGGCGGTAGAGCTGTCCGGTTTAGCTCTCCTGAAGGCCAAAGGCGTCTCTGCACTGTCTCAGATTGAACCAGTCTCCCTCAATGTTTCAGGGTGTGGTAGCAGGAGCCTTTGACCAGCAGGTAGAGAAGTCATAGAGTTAAAACAAGGCCGCATTTACCCTCTAGGCCAGAGACTCCCAAACGTTTTGGTTTCTAACCCACAGAATGGAACCAGAAGGCTCTCATGATCCAAACCTTTGGTTAGAAAACAGATTTTTCTAATCATAAATATCATAGTAATTAGAGCAGCTTCAACAACCAATGTGTTGTTAGTTTAGTCTATTTGTAAACTATGTTTTAATATCTTTGAACACATAAAGAAGCTTAATCATTATAATTTCTATTGTTTAGTTAAATTTTTATAAAGGATCTCATCAATGGTGAAGGAAGAATTTAACAGTAGTACTTGAGTAAAAGTACTGATACTCATATTTAAATCTTACTCAACTACAAAAAAAAGTTATGTTAAAGTGTTGAAGTATTCACATTCAAATAAAATGAAGTATTCAGAATTCAAAATGACTTTTCATTTTAAAGCGTATTCACTCTTAAGTATTCAAAAATACAAATACAATTTTCAAATATCAGTAAATTTCGGTATCATTTTCAAAGTAATTTTAAAGAATCTTTAAAGAAACTTTCAGAAACCACCTGATGTACTGATACGTAGAACCACATTCTATAGATTCT